GGATTGAGGAGGATGCAGTGACAGATCAAATTTGGGGGAATGAAGGAAAGAAAAGAATGGAGCTAACCTCCCATGCTGTGGGGAGTTAAGTGACTGGCAATATTATTAGAAAATATTAGATTATCTAAATTACTCTTGATTCTGTTATCCAACTCCATTTCGGGAGCCACCACCCCATTATCAAGCCCCTATTGCTGAAATAATGTTTTACAGATGAATTTACCCAAGATATCAATAATAATAATAATAATAATGAATTCCTAGGTAATTCTTCCAAAATGTAGAAAATTATCTTCAGTTACTTTATAAAAAAGATCTCATCACAAATAGTCATATAATTTATTTTAGTGTCACTTTTCTCCCCACGCTGGCACATAAATGCCAAGAAAGTCACCCTTTTATTCTGCTTTACTATGAGTTTCTGGATCCCAGAAAGCTTGGGGGATAAGTGTGCTCACTCTCTGTCTAGTGACCAGAATGAACGATGCACTTTGGCTTTGGTGCCCCCCCACATTTTGCACTTGAACTCAAGGATTTACACATGCTAGGCAAGCGCAACTTCTGAGCTACATGCCCAGCCCTGTGTTTTGGATCGTCAATGTCACCCAAAGGCCGTGTGTTGAAAGCTTGGTCCCAGCGGGGGTGTAGCTCAGTGGTATAGCTGTTGCTATGTGGAAAAGCCCTGTGTTCCATCCCAGCTCTGAGAAAAAGAAAGGCCTGTTTCCTTTCTTTGGCCCTCAATGCCAATGGGAAGTGGGTAAACCTTTCAGACACGAGGCCCAGTGGAAGGTCTTAGGTACCTGGTACTATTCCCGAAAGAGAAACAGGAAGCCCGAAGCCCAGCAGTTTCTGTTTCCTCCTGGTCGCGAAGTAAATGGCTTTTGTTCTTCTGTGTGTCCTCCACTGTGATGTGCTGCCTGGCCACAGGCCCCAAAGCAATTGGGTCTGCCCAAGTGTGGACTGAAATCTCCACAGTGGGAGCCAAATAAAGCTCTCCTCTTTAAAAGTGATTTTCATCTCAGATATTCTGTTACAGTAACAAAAAACAAACATGTGGAAGAACCTTATCTTCCCTAACCCCTGACTCTCCTGTCTCAACAGGTGTGGCTGGTTAAGTCTGGTCACTCATTGTGAGCATTGCTGTCCTGGTTTTCTAGGTGAAAACAGGGAACATGCCTCGGCAGAAAGGGCCAAGGGCCTGTAAAACCTGGGCAGAGCTTCCAGCTGGAGCCAATGACTTTTGGGCTTTTTGCTTTAAAACTGTCGTCAAGAAGAAGCAGAGACAATATAAGGATTCCTTTTGAAAATACCCACAATTTGGTTAATGATAAACACAGCTACAGCAAAAAATTGTGAAGGATGCTTTCTCAATCACGTATGTTATAGGATCTTCTCTGTTGGAGTTGATTCCTCAAAAACACCCCAAAATATATGTCTATAGGCATGTCTCTAAAAAAAAAAGTGGTCAGCCTGAAGATGCACCATAGGCAAATGCGTCCTTCCCTAGGCAGAGGTGAGGGTGTAACCAAGGAAGGGGCGTGCGAAGGTGAACAGAGCTGGCAGGAACAAGCACTAAATCTCTTTTCATTAAAAAGGGCCACGTGAGAGAGGTTCAGAGCCAAACTCTCCTGTCATGACTCAGCACTTGCCTTTCTTGTGCCAGTTTCCAATTTGTTTTTTACAGGTGAGTGGATGGGGCCTCACGACACCAGTCTGACCTCAGAAGGAAGGTGACCATGCAGGACAAATCACCGTCACTGGGCTTAGGGACTCCACAGCAAGGCGCAGCCCGGCCCCAGAGACACATGTCCCTTTGGTCTGTCTCGTAAGTATCTGTGTAAGGAACCTGAGGGAAGAAATGGGATTTAAAAATAAAACCGTGGACTTCAGACACTTCATAGGTTTCTCTTTCAGGGCTCTCTGAGGTTGGAAAGTATGAACTACATGCACCCATTTAACTTTTTATGTTAAATTCAAAGAGTAAAATTAGAAGCCTTGTTAACGATCCAACCACGCAACAACGGGCCAACAAATGTCAGAACCTTATGGTTAAGAGATTACAGGGTTGGAGCCAGCAATTTACTGTATGTGTCCCTGGCAGAGACAAGGTGTAACGAGCCTATCATCAGACACAGAAAATACACATCCTGAAAGACAGGGAACCTGCAAATCGAACTGCTTGCAATGCTTTCAAAGCTGCACACTTCCCCACTAAACTGCTATTTCCGAGAATTGGGATTTTTTTTCTTGTAAGAATAAAAAGTTAACCTCATCCGAGTGTACAAAGCCAGAAACCTATCATCTTCATTCTCAGCGAAAAAGGACATTCTTTCCCACCTTGCTTCTAGCAACACAGCTGAGACTTCGCTTCCATGACCAGCAGATTGACCAGATAGCCCACACGATGGCCCCTTCACCTCTCCTGGGGGTTTCTGGTGTTCCAGAAGCACAGCTCCCCTGGTGCCTTGGTCTCCCTTGAGGGAGGGGGACAAGGGAGCGGAAAGAAAGAAGAGCTGACAGACCCCAGCAGGTGTTGTTTTGTTCCCTCACAAAGGCACCGTCCCAAGCCCGTGAGTGGAAGCAAGGCCCAGGCCTTCAGAACTTTTCATACCCTCAAGGAGGCAGACTAGCAAGAAGGGGGGATGATGCCAGTGAGTGTTGAAGGGCAGCGGACTTCCATCAAGGAAAGAGAATTTCAGGATCCTTGTGAGGGACCAATGTGGAAGAATTGAGGCCGAGCCGGCCTTCCTGTCATATTCCCTGAGACAGCAGGAGGCTGAGAGATTGTGCTCGCTGAATTTCTAAGCTCCCTTCCTTCCACATTGCTTGCAGAGATTTAATTCTTTCTCTCGGGCAGGCAGGGTGCCACTGTTTTTCTGGTTTCCAGGGTGTGTCCTGCAGGTTACCGGGGCCGGGTGGAACGTTCAGGCGGAATATCCTTGTGGCTGCTGCCTTCCCTCAAACGGAATTGGCAGATCACAAGAAACCTGAATGTGAGGCAAAATTTGGGGGGTCCGCAGCTCCCACCCAGGCACCCCTGCAGGGTTCGGCTCACATGCTGAAGTGTGTCCTGAGGCTACTGTCCACACAATCTGACAAGCTTCTGATGACGCCTGCGCCTGCCAGCTTCTGAGCGAGGCACTGCCCTCCAGGAGCTGGTGATCTCATGGGGGGCCTCAGGGACACTGAGGGGTCTATCAGTAGCCTGCTCTGACGAAGGCAAAGGTGCTTCTCCCTGCCCATTTTGCTTTGCTTTGCCAAACTGTCGACTGCCTGCCGGTCTCTTTGGCTTCTAAAGATCCCTGTGACAGGAGATGAGTGCTTGTCACATCCTTCTCCCCTCCGAGGAGCTGCTGCTGCTAGTGGGGTGTGTGTGTGTGTGTGTGTGTGTGTGTGTGTGTGTGTGTACACGTGTACCTGGCGGCCACATTCGGAAGGGATTCCTGCCCAGGAATTGCTGGCGAAAGGGAATTAACAAAGAGAAAGAGGACGGGTAAGGAGACCGGGGTCCACTCTAAACGCTCCAGCGGGCCTCACCGGAGGGTGGTGGTTTGAGCAGGAACTGAGAGGTGAGAAAGGAGCCATTCAGACCTCGGGGTCTGGGGCTGGAGGGTAGGGTGCGGCCAGTGAGCACCGACATCTGCAAGCAGCCAGGCCAGGTCAGGGTCTTCGGGGAGGAGGAGGAGGAGGGCAGGAAGGACTGGAGCCGGGCCACCAAGCACAGAGGCAGACAGCGGAGGCCCCGCACCCCTCAGGCTGGAAGCCACACCAGCCGTGGAGAAAAGAGCGGATTTTCAGCGGAAACTTCCAGGATGTGCTGACAGCCCAGATGTGAGGTGTGGAAGAGGGAGAGCGAGGCTGGTCTCGAGGATGTTGGCATCGCGGGCAGGGTGGGCAGGGGAGCAGGCCCGGCGGGTGCCTCCTGCTCCGGTGGTCCAGGCCCCCGGCCTACACGCAGCCCACCCAAGCGCTGGGTGGCCCAGGCTCCAGCCTTTCCAGGCTCCCTCTGCCGCCTGCCTGGATGGCGGTCCAGGGCCTTCAGTACCTGGAGGGCATTTACAGTATTGCACAAAAGGAGTCTCTCTTCTGTCCTGGGAAGATAAGCAGCAAATCACCGGGCTTCCCCCCACAGCCCCGGGCAGGGCTCACTGGCTCCCTCTCCCCCTCTAAGCCTATGAAAAAGCTTGAGCAGGGCTTCTGGGCCAGGCCGAGCCGGGTCCCAGATTCCCGTGTTATTTCAGGGAAAGCTCTGTGGTCACCTCAGTCCATACTGCAAATTACGGGCTGTGGAAATCCACGCGTCTAGCATTTCCCTGTTTCTTTTTGGATGGATGACCAAAAAGTTTATATAAAGGCCCTGAACCTCACCCCGGGGGAGGCAGAGTAGTGGTTAAGGCCTTGAAATCTTAGCTCTGCAATTGTGTGCCTTTCCGACCCTGGGCATGATTTAACTTCTCTGGGCCTTGCTGTCCTCATCGGCATAATGGGCAGAATGACATGCCCTGGGTCACAGAGCTAAGTGAATTAGTAAATGTCAAGTTGTGACACACGAGTCCTGGCGACTGTTCTTACTCCCTGTGGCAGAGTGATGAATAGGCACAGCCCTCCTGCCGAAACCAGGCTGGAGCCATAGTCAGAAAATAGAAAGCTTTACATTATTTAAGCCCAGCCTCTGCAGCTGCAGTCCCATGTCATGTTAATCTGCAGCATTAAGGGGTCAAGGGGAGACCTACTTCCAGCTAAGGGAAGGCGTCCTCTCCTATATTTTAGTTGAAGCACAACTTTTTCCAGAAGTGTTCTTGAGAGTTAAGAATTATGAATTAAGATAATCTCATCCAATAAATTAAATGCAATTCTTGAAATCCAAAGGGACAGAAGCCAGATGGGAGGGCTGCTGGGTGAGCGAGGAACTGCACTCTTTGTTATTCCCTGTCTTCCACAGACTTTCTTACATGTCCGCACACCTGTCCCTGCAGGGGACAGTCAGCTGCCTCTTCTAGCCTGCACCTGCTTGAATCCTGCAGCCAGGAGGCACACTTTCCAAGAAGCCAGAATTGTCCTGCAAGCCTCCACTCCAGCTTTCTTCACCTGTCATTTTTACTCCCCACCTGTGCACTGCTAGAACACCTGGATCTTCCTGCCTCAGCCTCCATCAGAGCAAGGGCATCTGGGAAAGTCGGACCTGCACATGCTAGCTCACACATTTTTGTAATAAATGGTCAGGCAAATACATAATGATTAAAAATTTTAAAACTAGTGCCTAACATCACACTAGGGCCATCCATGCTGGAAGCCTTGACTGCCAGACCCAGAGGGGCCTGAGAACCATCAAATTGCTACTCTCTTTGGGAAATGAGCAGACCGAGGCTCAAGGAAGCTGAAGAGAACTAGAGGCACTATGAGCCCTTGTCCCGTCTAAATGGGATGCCCATGCCCTTCTCTTCCCAGCAAACCCACCTTCCTGCTTTCTCCCACTGAGCAAGGGCTAGCTCTGCCTCTGCCTGGCCTCCTGGGAGCGCTGCACATCCTCCAGCTGGGGCGTCTCCTCCCTGCAGTCCTCCCACAGCCAGCAGAACTCCGACTTGTTGATGGCTGTCTGTGAGTCACTCTGGAGTCACAGGGGGAATGAAACCCAGTCCTGGCCATCCTCCTTAGCACCAAACTTCCAGAGCTGGTCGAGTCTGTCTTGCTGGAACTTTCTGGAATTTAATTCCGGAGATGGAAGATCTTGATGTCTGATCCAGCCCATTAAGGGATGGCACTTTCCCAGGTTTAGGGTTGCATTAGGTGGTCTAGGGCTGGGGTCGATCAGTCGCTCCTAGAAGTTGGGGTCCATGGAATTCTAGTGTCCCTTGGAACATCCGTGAAAGGGAAACTCTGTGTGATATCAGAGAAATTTGGGAAGCACTGCTGACTATAATTTCCTTTAGGGAGGTAGAACCGTAATTTCTCATAACAGACTCTAAGAAATCCCTCAGGAGAGAGGCTTGCTTAACACGGCATTTCCCTAACATATTTCATCACACAGCTCCTTTCTTCCAGAACACTGGATTTATGTTCAGCTCCTTCCAGTCCAGTGCCCCCAATATTTTGTTTCCTCTGGTCTGGTAGTGAGCTTTCACTCAACATTCTGGACAAATAGACTGATTTTTCCCGTGAAGGTAACAATTTCATGATTACAATTTTGGAAGCTTTCTTTCTCCCTTCCTCCCATTAGAAAATTAGACACAGCGGGGAAAATACATTTCTGGCCTCAAATGGAAGAGCTGGAGCTGATGCGTTCCAGAAGAAGTTTCTCTATGAAAGGAGAGAGAGAGAGAGAGAGAGAGAGAGAGAGAGAGAGAGAGACTATGTAAATATAATTATTTCTAAGCAGAGTACCGCCAACATTTTCTATTAGGTAGCAGGAGTTCAATGTGAGGCCAGCTGTCCAAATATAGCTTTTTAGTCCCCTGAGTCAGCAAAGTATATAGAACATTTTCTTTCTCTTTGGGGACAGAAATGTCTTGCCACACACACGAGTGAGTGTCTCCAAATGTATTGGATATTTTATTTAGAGCTGTGGTTGTCAAATGTTTTTTTCCCAGAGCAAGTAAAAGCCTTTTTGTCAAGGGCAATCTCATTCAAAACACCTTCCCTGGACCCTGCAGGCCTGCCCCCAGGGCACCTTCAGGAGACCCCAGGAATCTAGCCTGGAAACCTAGAGCCTCACTGCTAAAGGTGGGGCCACAAACCAGCCAGTTCTCCCTTCCCTCAGAGCTTGTTGGAAATGCAGAATCTGGGCCCCACCCAGACCTGCTGAGTCTCAGTCTGGATTTCTGCACCATCTCCAGGGAATTTGTGTGCACATTAAAATTTAAGAGTCAGATCAAGAAGGTTTACTCCTGAATATTTCTTCCTCCCATGGTTCATGCTAAATACCTAGATATAGCTTCTTGAAAATTAGTCTGGAAATTTGAGCCTCCCAAACCAGCTACAGCTCTAAATCGGATAATCTAAGACAGTGCAGTCCTGAGCTTGGGGCTTCGTGTCCTAAAATCCAATCCTTTCCTCTCCCCTTGCAGACACAGCAGAAGGAGGAGTAAGCACTGCTTGGAAAGAGGCTGGAGAGCCAAGTGGTTAATGCAGAGACTGGAGCAGAATCCTTGGGTTTGAACCCCAACATTCCTGGTTTCCCTCTGGGTGACCTTGGTGGTGAACTGTCCCTGCCCTTGTTTGTCCCATGGGTCTGTGGAGGTGATGATGATGATGGTGACAGAGGGCCACTAAAGGAACAGGCAGACAGAAACCACTAAGCCTGACCCAGGTCCTGGGTAAGGGCTTATATTCCCGAGTGTGCAGGTGCCAGCCCCACCGGAAGGCCTCCATCTGTGGGATGGACAGAGGAAAATCTATCAAGCTGACAAAATAGAGTTTAGGAGTCACCGTGGATGTCTTCCAAATAGTCCTACCACTTATAGAAAGAACACAGATAATTTAAACTTTCTGATTTGCATGTAGACTTTCTACACTTAAAATCAGAAACATCTGTTTCTGTTTGGGCTTCTCCACTTGGTGCCATGATCTTGGGCAAGTCCCTTACAGCACTCCTTTCATCTTCTCCTTGCAGGGTCAGGGTAGTAATCTCACACTGGCCAGCCCCTCTAGTCCGCAGGGATCCTGCAAGGCTGGGTGAGGGTGGACATGGGAGAGTCACTCTGAACCCGAAACACTGGCAGCTGCATGGAGGGCAGCCCATCCCCTACCCTTCAGACCTTCATCATCTGCAGAACTAGAGAATGAGAACATCAGGGTCCTCCTGCCCTCCCAGGTTGTGCTGCTGCAAAAAGCAAAGAGCTCACAGTCAGAGAGTGCTGTGCAGAGTAGTGCGGACAGGGAGGCTTCACGTTTCACCATGAACACTGGTCTTCATTCTGTAGCAGCCAGGTGAGGTCACCTTCATCCCAGCCATTCTCCCTCCACTGAGATGAAGCTGAGGAGGCCACAAGCCCAGCCCTGAGCAGTGAGTCACACAGGCCTGGATGCACCCACAAGGCCACCTGGGGCTGACCCCAGGGATCCAACGCACCTGCTCCAATGCCAGCCTCTGGGCAGGAGGTGCTGGCAGCCTGGAAACTGTTCTCCATACTTCTGAACCTCACAGCCTCTCTGGGGCCTTGGCACCAAGAGCTGCTTGATCTCAGTCCAGCGATTGCTCTTATAAACAACAGAGGGAAAATTAGAAGAGTTGTGAAAAACAGATAGAGGGAATTAGGTCACTAGAAATTCTAAAACGACAGTCTTAGGTCTTGTTTAGCATAATGGATTCAGTGACCCCTGGCCACAGCTTGGGCTTGAGTGAGGAGGCAGAAAATACTTGTCGAGGCAGAATGGGGCAGGCAGAAGGAGGTCAAGTGATGTGCAACTGAGGAGGCTCTGCTGTCCGCTTTTGTTCCCCTGCAGGGACATGGGCGCAAGCCTTGCTGGAATGGGGAGCACACTGATATTCTTTGGATCTGCAAGGTTCTGATCCTGATGCAGTAGCTGAAGCAGGCTGGGCCCCTTCGTGCAATTCAGTGCCGAGTTCTCCGACTTGCAGAACACTAAGCCCAAGATGTGTGAGAGGGGATGCACCCCTCACTCATGCCCTGAGCAGCACCGGACCTCTGCTTCTGCAGTCTCCATGCCAATGGGCTGTTTACAGAGGGTGGAGAAGTCCTATATATTTGCTTCACAAAAACAAGGTGACTACAGAGGCAGTCTGCCACTCTAGGGCAGCTTTAAGCCACTTGCTTGAGCATTTAAGTCTCGGTGCCTCTTTCTGTAGCCAGTCATGAGCCATGGGGTGGGTGAGTGGGGCAACACATTCACACACTGGACCAATGGAACCTATTTCAGTTGAGTTAATAATATTAGGGACAGGAGTAAGGACACAAGGCTTGCTCTGCAGCAGATTAGATTGTTTCTCCTGCTCTAGCTGTGTCCAGATAAGCCCAGGCAGGCAGGAATTGAAAGGCTGAAGCTGAGGCTGCCTGGAGCCTGGGAGGTGAGGCAGTTACAGGAGGTGATGGGATTTAACCTGAAGGGGAACAAAGAGAAAGAGCACAGAGCTTGAGATGAGCTTTGAGGTAAGTTGTTTAACCCTTCAATTTCCTCATCTCTAAAATAGGTAAAATAGTATTTATCTACTAATGTAATGAAGGTAGAAGAAAAGGGGGATAGAACATATCATTAAATCCACAGATTCAGGTGCCACATTTTGGACAGTAAGTGGACCCATTATTTCATAAGATGATAATGAAATTAAAAAGCGTCTGTCACCTAGTGATATAGCTGTCATAACAGTGCAACACATTCCTCTTGTGTTTGTGATGATGTTCATGTCAAGCATCTAGCCTCACTGTTAGTGACATAAAAGTATATATAGCATGTACTCAAACAGTTGTGTGCAGTGCATAATATTTGATAAATATGAATGACTATTATTGGTCTACACACTTACTGTGCTATGCATTTTATCACTGTTTAAGACCTCACTCCTTCTATTTAAAGCTTACAGTACACTGTGGTGCAGCAGTAACCTCACACATATTGTGTTTACTTCAGTTCTTGGTTGCACAGAAAGGCCTCTTGGAGTGATGCACCTTGTTACAGTGTAGATCTAGAATGACCGCCAACAGTCTCGTGTCAGAGGTGTGCTGGAGGGAGAGCATTGCAGAGTACCATGTCCCAAACCCTTGGTTCCAGGAAGTCCAAATACATCTGAACCACCCATTCTGAGAAGTATGGCTATACTCTCTGCCTCCCAAATTCCTCAAGGCAGCAACTCCTCCCTGGACCAACCCCTGACAACCACCTCTCCTTTAAAACCTTTGTTCTCCCTTCACTGTGTAGACTCTTTTATGGACTTATCCCGTTTTCACTGGAGCAAAATATACAGCCTCGTTACTCACACAAACCCTTCCCCAGTGGCCTCTCTGCTCCCTGCACCTTCACTACATCTGGTGCCAAAGCCCAGGATAAGTGACCCTCCCTGGAGGGCTGTCAAGACCTATCAAAAGCCTTTTGTTTTAACAAGGTCACCCTGTGATATTGGCTTCTCAGACTGTGCTCAAGACAGTTCCTGCCAGCTGCTTCAGATGGGGTAAGACTTTTCATTCCATCCCCTCACCTGCAGAGATGAAGAGAGGCTCATTCTACTTTCTGTGTTTCTCAAATCCGGTGCTGGTCATGGAAATTCTCTGGGAAGACAGTTTTCCCTTGATGTCTGGTCAACCAGGGTGATGCCTGCCTTGGTCACCCATCCATCCATGTTATGTTATGGCCCTGGGTTTCAACATCTGCTGTGGACCCTTGTTGCCACTCTCATTACCTTCCTCTGGTCTCTATGGAAAATCTTCCCTCCCTCTATTTCCCCCTCCTCCCTCCCAGCCCATCTCCTGAGAAATCTAAAACCTCTCTATCCCTCCCCTTGATCTGAAGGCTAAACACCCAAGTTAATTAATTTATTTTTTGTCATTTTGTTGTTTGTTGTTGTTGTTTTGTAATGCCACTTGGCCACAATATAAACTTTATAATGACTCCCAATGGCCAGAAAATGGCACCTTTGATTTTTCTGTCTTGTAGGACTTAGATAATTATTACCAAAAGTTGGGCAAATGGTCTGAAGTACCCTATGTCCAAGCATTCTTTACCCTCCATAGCATCCCCACCCTGTGTTCCCCCTGTGATGCCTTTCAAATCCTTCTTCCTCCCTCCTGTCTGCACCCCATCTAACACTGACATCCCTGATGACAGACCCTACTAACTTTTTCTCTCCCCAGTGGCCTTATTCCCTCAGAAAGCCCCTGCCAACCCCACTTCCTCCAGGCACCCCCTCCCCGCTGAACCTCCTGACAACCTGACACCACCCCCTAACTCTAAGCCTCCTCCATATGTTCTGCCTGGCCCCATCCCACCACACACCTCATCCAGACTATAGTCTGGCCTTAATTCCTTGCCCTCTGCATCTCTGTACCTACTCCATAGTGGCAGAAGCAGAAGACAAGTCTGAGATCATGTTACTTTCTCTCTGTCAGAACTCTCCTAGATTAGCCAGCATCTGGGCTTCTTCTCCTCAGACCCTACCCAATATATCAAGAGTTCCAATACCTGACCCAGTCATGTATCCTCACTTGGACTGATTTAAATGTCATCCTTGCTCCACTCTTTCCCCAGATAAACAGGAGTGGGTATTTTCCCTGCCCCAGTTTATGGGGGCAACTGCAAATGCTTTCAGCCCAAATTTTTGAAGTATCCCATGGATGTCCCCTGAGAGGACCCAAACTGGAACTATTAGGCAGGATCCCAGGACATAGCCAGTCAATATTGCCTGATTTTCTACCTAATAGAGGGACTTTGCAAGGCCTGACTAAAAGCACCCCTTCAGGGCCATGCTTCAAATGCTACCAGAACAGTCACTGGGATAAGGAATGCCTAAAGCCCAGGATTTCTCCCAAGCCATGTTCTTCTTGTGGGGCTCCCCACTGGAAGTCAGATTGCCCAATTCCAGCAGCCACCTCTAAGTCATGACCCCATGGACCCCCAACTGGCTCCTTCCCAGACATTCTTGGCTTGTCTGGAGAAGACTGAAGCTTCCCAAAAGCCTCAGAGGCCCCCTAGACCATCTTGGATGCTAAACTTTGGCCCAAGTGGACAGGACCCTTCCTGGTCATCTACAGCACCCTAACAGCTATCTGTGAGACCCACCACAGTGGATACATTGCTCCCATGTAAAGCTGTGTCCTGCTGATAACTTGTGTGACTCTTCCTCATGAAAATTGCAAATCTGCTTCCCTCAGGCTGTTCTGAATTCCAGAAGACACCTGAATGCCCTGCCCCTATCTATCCTGCCACTTCACCCACTTCCCTTATTCCATTGGCTCTGATCTTTCTTGGTTTCAGGGCTCTCTTTAGGAAAAATAAAAATAAATTGTGTGTGTGTGTGTGTGTGTGTGTGTGTGTGTAGGTGTGTGTTAATGGTTGATAGGACCCTAAATACCCTGTGTTTCTACTATGCACTCTCCTGTGGATTTTATGTGTAATCCTGTTATGTCTTCAAATGAATTGTTTTTTGCATTGGGAATGGAACTTTTCTCATGCTCATGCTTGCCCTTGCCCTAACTAGGCACCCCACACACGTGATCGTTTGTCTGGCTAGCCCTCTTGTTCCTTCTGCTGTGCTCCACAGTTGCACCACCAGTGCTTCTCCCAGTGGTCCCTAATTATCTCTATAGACCCTATAGTTAACTCACTACCTGCTAAGTCCTTCCTTGGCCTCTGTATCTTCACGTCTGCAGCCACCTATGTTTCCACTCCAGTCCTTCCCCAGGTATGGGTCCTTACTAACCTTACATATCACCCCCACCTCATACCACCCTGTCCCCTTAGTCTCTCCCAACTAAGGTGTCTGTGCCACCCACATAAAGAAGCCATGAGAAACAGTGCCTACTTCCCCTACTCTCTCTTTCTTTATAACAGAGACAAGAATGCCATGCCTGGTGCATGAAGCTGACATAAAGCATTGTGTCCTAACTCCTCGGTTCTAGGAAGTCCAAATACATCTGCACTTCCTATTCCAAGAAGTGTGACCACACTCTCTTCAACAGCAACTTCTCCCCAGACCAACCCCCAGCAACCCCTTCCCTTTAAAGCATTTGTTCTCTCTTCTCTGAGTGCTCTCTTTTTGGATTCAGCTTGCTTGCACCTGAGTAAAATAAATAGACTTGTTGCTTATGCACCCCCTGCCTGGGTGGTCCCTCTACTCTCCATGCTGTCAGTACAAGAGGTAGGGCTTTGGGAGGTGATTGGGGGTGCTGTATTTATTAGTGGGTCGATCCATTGATAAGTTCATACCTGAATATAGTACTAAGAGGTGCTACTCAGTTGGAGCAGGTGGTTCACTGGGCATGTGCCTTTGGAGGGTATATCTCTTGCTTTGGCTCTTACCCTTCCTTTGATTCCTGGCTGCTGTGGGTTGAACAGCTTTTGTCCACTATGCCCATCTACCATGCCATTTGTGCCTTGGAGCCAGCCAACCGTGGACTGAACCCTCTGAAACTGTGAGCCAAAATACATTTCTCCTCCAAATTGTGGGTACTGGGTATGTGTCCCGTGATGGGAATGTGATTCATACACACCCATACTATCTAGGTTTGTGTGAGTACACTCTGGATGCTTATATGGTGAAATATCTCTCAGAGACAGGCACTATGCTGGTGATTGACTCTTTCTATGTTTGCTGCAACTATGAAGGAAGGCAACAACTGCTCTCCCTGCTTCATAAGTGAGGAAGACACTTGGGTAAATGAGCAGCCATAAGGCCAAAGTGGCTCCACTGTGAACCCTTGAACCCTTTGAATGTGGGGCTGCCTGACTGTGTGCTTTCTACTTATCTATGGGGTTTGCAGACATAAGTTCTTGGAGCAACCTCTGTAGGGCAATACCAAGGTTACTTTCTGCACTTGAGGCTTCCTCTTTGCCCCTTTCACCAGCAGATCTGAATTCCTTCCTCACCAGCCACACAACCAAGTGAAATTCCTTGGTCTCCCTATTCCTCCTTTGTCTCAGCTGGGAATGAGGATGATAATTACCCCTGGCAGAAAAGGTGGGAAGGGGGAGGTCCTGTGAGTAACCATCTCCCGCCTTAGATGAAGCTGGCTCTTCTGTAACTGTACACATGAAATTCCTGATGCTTCCTTTGTACCTACAGACCCCTGATTCCTGGGAATTCTGGGAGTTGTAGGCATCCAGTCCAGGGACACATCAGTCCTTTGCAGAGTCCCTTCTGCAGGGCCAGCAATAATGCAGAACAGAGCTCTTACCTGGACCTCTATGCTCCATGGATGTGTCAGAGGGTGGGGGAGAGGGAGGAGAGAGAGATTTGTTTACCAGTAAGTGAATGAGCTGGAAATCAAATCCAACCAGACTCCATGATATTTGTCCCATCAGCTCCTCTGGGCTGTGCAATTTGTCCCTCTATAGAGTGGTACCAGGAGTGAGTCATAAGGGGAGGGGTGTGATTTTCTATGTCCCTCCAGTCTGCTCAGCCAACTGTAGTGGAACAGGGGGCATCCTTTGCTCTCTTGCCTTGTCCCCCTCTTCCTCCTTGTTGATATTACTAAAGGGCAATTATATAATTAACACAGAGCAAAGCACTCCTACTTTAAGCATTCAGGGTGACTATTTGACCTGTGTGGCACCCTGTGTGGTCCTGGCAGTTCAAGATGGCAGATCTGGTCCTGCCCGGCCTCAGTCCTTATAGTCCTGGAGGGGACAGAAGGGGACCAGGGACAGACTGGGACTCCCCTGAGCCAGACTTGGAGAATACTCCAGAAGCATCCACATATTTGCAAGTACTCATTTTTTAAAGGTTCTGAAAGAAATCACTTTCAAATGAAGGCTAAAAGGAGAAGGCAGGAAGAAAAGAAAGAAAAGGAAGACTAGAAAAAAAAGAAAGGCAAAATGTGGATGCATGTAAACCAGAACTTTCATATTGGTCAAATTGTAAGATAGTTTCTGTCTCCTGGAATATTTAATTATAGGAAAATCCCACAGGCCACCTGTTTTAACTGCTTTTCTTCTCTGGTGGAGAAATCAGGATGCTTTTGCAACAGGGAATGATTTGATTCTCCTGGGGGAAATGAGGGATAAAATGAATGAAAAATATCTTGTCTTCAGAATATTATACATTTTTCAATACCAGACCCTAAAAGTAGTAGGTTTTCATCCTTAATTTGAATGCTAACTACTTGGAAGTCTCACACAGATTTCCCACATGTGCATTTTATTTTCTTTAAGTGGTGAAGAATGAACAAAGAAGACAGAGCGGTCCTTCATTCTGTTTGTGTCTGCACAGTATTACTGTCTGTGAGTTTTCTTTGATTAAACCATTATCTTCCACACTTCACTGTGCGTATGAGGGAGGGATGTGGGCTGGTTGTGTGTCACACATGCCCTAATAACAGCAATTTGCATCTCTCAGCTGTTGCTCATTTCACCAGCCTAAGCCCCAGAAGGAATTCCCCAAACCAGGATGGATGTCCACACTCAGCCCAAGGCTGACATTTCCAACTAGAAGGTGGCCATCCTGACAGATGCCCTGGGAACCAGGATGAGTGGCTGAGTTACTTCACATCATTATCCTACTACCGAGAAGCAGCTAATGAGTCCCCATCACAACTAAAAACTCAGACGTTGATGGCACAGGTCAAGACTTAATATGGCCGGACATTCTGCTGGACTATTTTGTGAAGTCCCCTCTTCCACTTAGTTCTCCCAAGAGCTTGAGGGTTAGAGAAGCTGGGCCTCCCGTGGTGGTGGCCTCTCAGCAGGAAGCCTGGCAAGCCAGCATCTTCCTTTGAAATGGAGATTTTTATAAACAAAATTGAAACTGAAAAACCTCTTGCTGTGGGTCCTGGGTGCTGAGAGCCTTGGGAAGGGCTGGATGAATCTGGTCAATGCTGTTGGCACAGTCTAGGCACCCAAGCTACAGGCTGCTGTAGAATGCTCACCTCAGTCTCTCTCTCCACAGTCACAGCCTCTCCCTGCGTGAGGCTGCCCCCAGCCTGTGGCAGCCCAGCTGGTAAGATGCTGGGCAGAGGGGACAAAACACTGGACTGGATTATGTCCACCTGGGATATGGAGAGGGCAAGGAAAACACAGCCTTCAGCTGTCCTGATTTATAATCATAGGACTTTAATAAAGCAGCTCTTTGTCACAAAACATAGTAATGGTTCCTTGGCCCCATTTCAATCCATCATGTCACCCTCTGCTCTTGGAGATGTTACAAAGCAGTGATGGCCACAGTCCAGAGCCTGGTTTTACAAGTTTGTTGCTTAGCAGTGCAACTGTGTGTTGGCAAGGCTCATGCCCAGATCTTTGTAGGCGTGCAGGGAGGAAGAAAGATTAAAGGGACTATAAAACCACAAACTATGTACAAAATGTATTATGAACTTGAATTTGAGAGCTTTTTTTTTTTTTTGGCCTCATACAGCTGGAGGCAGTGGCTTCCGGAAGAGTCATTTTGTTTTCAGAGCTGCTTGTAGAAATACTGCATTTTCAAACATCCCATGGGCCTGAAGACATTGGTCTGAGTCCTGGCTGGGTCCCCACAGGGGTTCTCAGAATGATTCAGCCTGAATTAAGGACTGGGCTACATGATCCAAAGCCTTCTGAGGGGGAGTCCTCCACGCATAGGGAGATGGCCTGAGCAGGGACAGGGTCATGTTGGGGACAGCCCAGAGCCTAACCGTCACAGAGTTCTAGCTGCACACATGGCCTAGTCTCCCTCCCTGTCCTCAAGTTAGAGAATTGGGCTGGGGCTGGAACTCAATGGGAGAACACTTTTCGGCAGGCATGAAGCCCTGAGCTCCAATCCCCAGAACCACAGAACAAAATAAAACAATTGAATCTGAAGTTTGGTTTGGCTTGGTTGGGTTTAGTTTCATCCCAAACAGTTAGCATTCCAACATGACTTTTAGACACAAACCTTGTAAACTGCTCTGGCCCGCCAGTTTCTTGCTTAAAAGGTGATTATGACGCGGAACACAATGCAATGGACAGACAGGGCAGGCCTCAGTTCTCTGAGGATGGTGCGAGATGCTGCAGCCTCTGGCTTTGTCCTCCTCCCCTCATTTCACAGGAAGTGAGTTTCCTGTGCATAGCTGGGCGGTCACTGCCATCCTCCCAGGCTGATGTCTTGGTCAGCACCCACTTCATCAAGGCCAGCACTGTCCCGCACATCTCCTTGCTTTGCCTAAGTAGTAACAGGACTCCAAACACCATCTGGAGTGTATTAAGAGTTGCAGGACCCAGCATTCCTGCCTCAGACATCTGGGCTCGGAGGAGGAATGTAAGAAGGGAGCCAAGTGCCTGGGATGAAGGAGCTGCTCACGAACTAGTCCTATCAGTTGTTAGTAGCAAATTGTACACTCACAGGCAACAAGGGTCCTGTAAACCTGCAGCATGTGGCCCCAGGTTCTGAACCCTACAGGCCTCATGCTCAGGTAAGGGGATTTAAGACCCAGTTCCACTCACACTTATAATCTAGGGGTGAAGTACCCTCCAGTTCCAACCCAAGTTCCCGGCTGACTTTGGCTGGGACTGCAGAGCAGGTTCTGTCCTGATCATGAGAATCACAGACACCTCCGTGCAGAGTCCATAGTTCGTGTACCCGGAAAGCCCTCTGAGCCGTGCACAGGATGCTCCAGGGCCTAGGCACCAGGCTGAGTCAGTGGCCCTGGATTTTGGTGCTGCTTCTCACATGACCCCTGGACCAGGGCCACCAGACAAAGCCATGGGCCCGGAGGCTCAGCCCACAGAAATGTGTTGTCTCACGGGCCTGCAGCCTACAGGTCCCAGAGGAAAGCATCACAGTGATGGCCCTTCTGAGGCTCTCTCCAAGCTGCTGGCGGCTCCATTGTGTGCTCTGCACACCGTGGCTTGTAAATGCCTTGCCCATCTGTGTCTTCGTGCTCACACAGTGCTCTCCTGTGTGCCTCTCTGTGTCCAAACTTCCCTCTCTTAGAAGGACACAGCAGGCACTTGGATTAGGGCCCCCATCCTAATGACCTTGTCTTAGCTGGTGACATCTGCAATGGCGATTTGTAAATAAGGTCATGTTCTGGGGCATTGGAAGTTAAGACTTCTACATATTAATGTGGATACAATTCAACCCCTAATACCACCCTTGGATTTAGGATAAGTGGATAAATACTTCTAAGCCTTATTTTCTCCATCTGTGACATTTCTGATCTTTTGATTATTTTTAGCTCTTAAGCACAGTCATTTTAAGTCTTTACAGTATGTTAGTCTATTTTATTTCCTTTGTCAATAGTCTCCAAGCATTTCTATTCATTGAATGTCATAAAACAAAAACAACAAAAAAAAAACCTTATCCAGGCTTTAAGAATTTTGTCACTTTCCTCCTTTGGCTTTAGCTATTTGTATGGGGATATCAAGTGTATTTATTGATCATTATTTCAGTCTTCCAGCCCATCAGCTGGCCATGGCCACCACTGAGACAGTACAGAATACAGTTGTCTACAGGCTGCAGCCCAGCCCTGGTCCTTTTCATATTTGTCTAGCTTTCTTTTAGACTTAACATTCTTCTTTCAAAAAAAAAAAATTAGGTCTTTCTAATTTTACTTTTTCTTTCCATTGCTGGCCACCAAACCCAGGACTCTGTGCATGTTAAAGACATACTCTACCAATGAGCATTCCCAGTATTTCCCCGATTTTAAAATAAATATGTAATCATAACTGAAAGATTAAGGAATAAAGTAAAAGTAACCTAAAATACCATTTCTTAGTGAGATATCTTGGAATTGAAGTGGGGGTTGTTTGTGTGTACCCGTCTCTTTCTCTACTTTATCTTAGATATTTTTCTGACCTTTATTACTTTCTGAAAGCACAATCTTTATTTTTGTTAAATATTCCATTCTAAGGCTGTGCCATTTCCATTACTTAACATAATAAGTCGCCCTATCTAAGGTCGCTGGATTTGGTCCTTGTGTATATCTCGGGTTGCTCCCTCGAGTGAAGCTCTTGAGTGTGGAGCTCTTGAATAAAAGTGTATGTTGTATTTTCTATGTGTTTTGTCAAACTGTCCCCCAGAAAAGTGACAATAAATGCATTCACCAGTAGCACTTGAAATTACCTTTATTTTCTGGAGAGATATTTGCTCTTTTCTTATTGATTTGTGAGAGCTCCTGTTATATTTAGAATATTAAATCTCCTACCACATGTGTTGAAAGCATAGACTTTAAATTTTCAGAGTGAGGGCCTTATAAAATGTGTGTCCCCCACAATGATGACTTCTGCAACTTGTGCTCAGTAGCACCAGATAAATATCCAAACGATGTAAAGCAACTACTCCCGCCACTACGAGGCCTATATGTTAGTCCAAGGGAAATGGAACAAATTCCACACCAGAGGCGCCAGACAAGTGCTGTGGGGTGAACGAAAGTGTAACCAGGCCCTCACCGGGGCCCTGGGGTCACCATCATGGGAAGTTAATCTTATTAAGATCTCGGCTCTGATTTTTTTTTTTTAATCCAGAGAAGATATTCTAGGCCCAGGATGAGCATAAAGATAGCACATGGTGAAACTGCCTGCTGCATTTGAGAAAGAGGGTGGTTCAGGCTAACAGGCTCCTGCAGGCTAGGGGTCCTGCTACGACCCGTGTTTGGGGAAGTTGGTGCTGGCAGCTGTGTGAAGGAGGAAGAGGAGAAGAGCAAGACTTCATTTCTTCCAAAGACACTTCGAGACACCCAAAGTTTGTGTCCTGGCTGTAGTGCACTGTGGCCCTCTGCTCCGGGCGGGAGACGGTCTGCCTCTAGGATTGCCATTTCCCAGTGCTCTCGGAAAGGTGGATGCATGGGAGGAGCCCACGGGCCAGGATTTGCAGCCCAGTCTCCAAGGCCCGTCTCAAGCACCAGTTTCTCTCTCTCTCTTTTATTTTTCTCCTTACTTAAAAGCAATTTTGCTGAGATACAAATCACATACTTACAATTCACCTGATTGAAACACACTAGTCAATGGTGTTTAGTGTATTCACGGATTTGTGCGACCGTCATCACAATCTAATTTAGAACACGTTCATTACCCTCCCCCCAAACGGCCTCACACCTCTTGGCCGTCACCACCCTGACCCTACCCTGCAGCTTGCCAGTCCGAGGCAAGCACCACCCTGCTTCCGATCTCGCTAGATTTACCGCTTTGGACATTTCCTATAGATGGACTCTCAGCAGATGTTTCAAGATTCGTCCACTCTGTAGCATGCGTCTGGACTCGATTCCCACTCAAGGCTGGAGAACAGTCCATTGCAGGGATATGCCACACTCTGGGAATGCATCAGTTGTGGAAATTGGGTTGTCTCTACTTTGGAACTATTATGAATAAAGCTGGTATGAAACTTCAAAATGCATCTTCCGTTGAGAACTTTTAGAAACATTTATCAACTGAATGTGATTCCCTGTGAGGTACCTGGCAGTGTTCGGCCCCTCCTTCTCCCATGATGCTTAGTGCCTCAGTAGCACCGGTCTCCGACCTCCGGCTGCTTCTGAGATCCTGCTGGATGGAGGCTCAACCCAGCAGAGTGGTCCTGCTCCTCTGCCCCTCCGTGTTGCTTTGCCTGGTACCTTAGGGAGCCTCTGTAGAGAAGTCATAAGAGGGCAAGGCCGTCTGTCCCTCTAAAAGGTCAGACACTTTTTGAGACAGCTGTATGAGGAAGATAGACGCAAGATGCATTTCAAGTTACCCTGTGAGTTTTTTTCAAGTTGCCTCCTCATTCAAAGTGAGATCATTGCCATCTGATGCAAAATAGCCTCAAGCAGTGTTAAGAGAAAGGCCATATGTAGCGCTATCTAAATGGCTCCGCCTACAATTATCTTGGTTACTTTTATCATTGCTGAGACAAAACACCTGACACTCAGAGTTCGAAAAGAGAAGACATTTATTGTAGCTTACCGTTTGTAGAGGCTTCAGTTCATAGGTGGCTGGCTCCACGGCAGGGAGGCATGGCAGAGGTGGGTCACAGAGGAGAAACAGTGCATGGTGGGCGGCAAGCAGCAAGGGACAACAGCAGGCCTCTTTCTGTTCCTTATATCCAGCCTACACACCCCCAGGGCAGGCAGCACTCACACCCAGGATGGGCCTTTCCATTATCCACACCCAGAGCTGGGCCAAACCAATCAACGGACTAATTTAGTAATCACCCACCCTTCATCCCAGCATCGCCCTCTCTACGCACAGCTCCTTCTGAAAACCCCTACCTATGACTGCATGAGGCTTTGGGGGACATCTAGGTACAAACCGTAACACCTACCCTGGGGCTGAAAGTGGGTGTTCTGTATTAACGATGCAGTTCAAGTCCATAACACTCCCACAGATGCTGTGTTCAGTCATAACCAAAATTCTAACAAAGACTTTCTTTTGTGTTTAGGCTTTGGTTTTGGATGTGTGATTGAAATGACTGGCTCATGAATTATGAATTTTAAACAGAGTCAAATCTGCCCCAGTCTCTGAGAACACTAGAATATCCCTAGGTCTACAAAAACAAATGTGTTTTACAGAATGCAGATTTGTCCCAGTGACACTGGCCCGAGGCCCCCCATGCCTCTGCCTCCCTCCCCTCTCCAAGGGACTGAAGTACAGGAGCGGTGATGGGTGAGGAACATGCTCAGGGCTGAAGTGGAGGCGCCAGGGTGCTGGCTTTTATGGGGTCCGCCCTCCTCATCAGTCTCTCAGGGACCCTCTCTGCTGGGAGCCTTCTTAGTACCCTCCCTTTACTCCCCGATTTAGGGTGAAACAACCTTCCTCCTCTCTCCTCCAGAGTGCGACGGGCAAGGCAAGGAATCAGATCTGGTCATTTTTCAGCCACGGGATC